CAGTTATGCAAACCTACATATTTTCAATGTATAAAATACCCCTACATTTGAAATATGCGCTGTGTACTCTGTGGAGAAAGCATGTATATAACCCAATGCAATGGAAAAGTTGGCTTTCATCAATTACAATGCTGACTGGATTTTGTCTTCTTCAGCCATTGGGATTCGAGGTTCCTAAAGCATTTTTGCTTTGATGAGTCACATCTGTAATACAATCACTATACCCATCCCCACCTAATACACTGCAACACATTTTCCCCTCAGAGATCTGGCCATAGTCATTTCACAAGAGAAAGAAAAAAAAAGAACTGATTAAAAGGAAACAGGACAGACAGTGAGTAAGCCATGAACAACTGCCCAAAGCACTGTAAAATTCAGATCATTTCCATGTGTTTCAATTAAGGCTGCCCTGAGCGGTGGACAAAGAACTAGAGAGAATATTGATAAAGTTGTATCCATTCCCTCCCTTTGTCAGTGTAGTTGGAGGCAAAGAATTAAGTACAATTATTGGGCCACTTGCAAAATTTTAACACAGAAAAACATCTGGGAAAAGCCAACGCAAATAGTCTAATTTGTAATCCCATCAGCCAAACAGAATACTAAAAAGCACTTTATTCACACATTTTTAATATAAACAGGAATACGGTTGGATAAGCAGTAGTTATCTGTCAAAGAGGGTAACAAATTAGATTTTTTTCACATTCTTGCATGCCAATTATATATTTATTTTAGGCGATTCAGAAATGACTTGTAATAAAAAAACATTTGGTATAAACAACTAGGCAGTTAAAAATCTACAAATCAAATTGAGTATCAAAATGTCATAAATAACATTTACAGTTTTAGCCAATTTTTCTGGTTATAGTGAAATTTTCTACAAAATGATTTCCTCCATTAAAAGGCGTTATAGGTTGAACTGTGCCACCCCAAAATTCCCATGGTGAAATCCTAACCCCAGTACCTCCAAATGTGGCCTTATTTGGAAATAGAGTCACTGCAGATGTAATTACTGAATGGTGAGATGGAATCATTAGGGTGGGTCCTAATCCAATATTACTGGTCTCCTTATAAAAAGAGGAAATTTGGACACAGAGACACACACAGAGAAAACTTCTTAGGAAGATGAAAGCAGGGGTCGGGATGACTCTCCCACAGGCCAAAGGGGGCACCATTCCGTCTCAGGGCCTAACCTCAGACGGAACTAACCCTGTTGCACCTTCACCTTGGACTTCTAGCCTCCACAACTGTGAGACAACAAATTTTTGTTTTTTAATCCACCCAGTTTGTTGAACATTTTTACAGCAGCCTTAACAAAGTAATATAAAAGGTTTCAAAGCATAGCACATGAAGACATAAAACTTTAACCACATACATTTTTCCTAACAATCTGTCTTTTGCTACATAGTGCTTGCAAAGCACCTATGTTCCTCCTCCCCTTCCTTCCCCCACCGCTGCCGTTATATAAGGCCCCATAAGTAAGTCTTCTCCAAGGGACTGTGAGAAAAGGTGATACATGCCACACCCAGTCCTGACCCTTCAGATCGTGGCACACCTCCTCCACACTCTCCTGCTCTGTACCAGCTCACATTTCAACATGGTGACCATCTTCAACCACAGTGATGAGGTCCATGACTTAAGCGACAGCAGAGCTACTTTTTAGAAGGAATCTGGGTCTCTTGTTGACAGTATGGGACAATGCCACCCACCAAGTGGGAATACTCACCTTAGATTGTGCCATGAAAGTAAAATAACTCTGTTCCTTAAACCGCTATATTACTGGGTTTTTCTGCTATAACAGGTTAGTTTTTTGCCCTAATAAAGTACCAGGGGAAATAAAATGTTTCAAACACATGCAGTAAAACAGTATATAGAAAACCAGGTACATTTCTGAAACAATAACTATGACTGAATGGGTAAAGTTTATGTGTGCATATAGCAAACTGAACTACTATTACAGCTTCAAATATGAGACAATGTATTTGATGAACTTAGTAGTTGGTAAACTACAATTAAACCCTTTTTGGAAATCTATCATTTCTTATTCTTAAAGCTATTTAATTTTCTTTCCTTTTTTAATTTCAAAGTTTTTCAGTGGGAATAATTACTTATTTATGTTAATAATATTGCTAATTTTACATATACAGGGTCCAGCACAAATAAAACCCCTCTTTATTACAAAATCTTTTTATTACAAAATCATAAGCATGTCATTCTGTAACATAACAGTATCACACTCAAGCACGCCACATGACATTCTAGGTGACATGTAAAAATTAAAACTAAATTATCACACCCATTAGTACTCCCCTACCAACCACACTCGAGCAGGCCTTCCTTCTGCTGGACCCTGTGTTTTAAAGGTATCCAAAAAATAAATAAATAAAGCAAAGTAACATATAAAAAGTTTCACACTCCTCCTCCAATCCCCCCTTTAGGGAGAGTCGGTACAAAGCTGGGAAGTTATCTTTCCAGACTTAGACTTTAAAAAAATAAAATAAAAGAGTAGTCACATTTTAAACTCAGCTCAAGAGAGTTTTAATTTTGGTTTGTGATACACACCTGAACCCAAAGCCAAAAACATGTTCTAATAAGCATATAGATAGAGCCTTTGAATTTTCATTACTCTGGAAGTAGAAAAGTATTTTTCAAAGATGCTAATGACCAGCAATATAGTCTATTTCTTGTTCTTAAATGTTTCCCCAAATGTCATTATGTGAAACTGGAATACGTGTGACCAGAAGAAAGTTCCTGGAGGACAATTCAATACTTCTCCATTACTTCATTCTACTGCAGATGAACCATAATGTCTATTTCTGTCTGGTCAAAACACTGAAAATTACTCTGCTGGAATTTGGGATGTTTGCCTTTAAATTGCAGGTTTTTTCCAGAGTAACTATCCCAATCCTATATGGACACTTGTCTATCAGGAAGACATCTTCTAATGAACTAAAAAAGAAATGAGATAAAAACTATTCTCATTTAGTTATTCAGGAATCTCAACAACCTGTAACCAAGAACAGAACCTACAATTCTAACTCATAGTCTGTGGGACACACACATGTTCCTGGGTTCAAACATGTGTTTCCATTTAAACTGCTGGAATGTATATATGGCTCCACAAAGAGTGATAAATATTAGCAAATCTTCTAAGAATGAAGGTCCTTTATGACTACATACGCTGTGTTTTGATTCAGCTTTTAAAATGTCTGAGTCATACAAAGCTCAACAGTCTGCTTTTTACATCTATCTGCAAGTTAAAGAAAACGGAAAAAAAATTCCTTCCATAGATATCATCTATGTTTCCCACCACAGCCAACCCAAGGCAAACCTGAGGTATCTGCTCCCTGTCTTCTGTCTTCTTCCCTTTGTGGCAAGCCTGCCCCAGCTAAAGGCAGTGCATTCCGAAATGCCCAAGTACTAAGGACAAGCTGGATATTAACCAATGTCAGATACTGCCAAGCAAAGGGCTTCAGGCACAGCACATAAACTTCAACAGCATGAACCTAAAGCAGGGATGGAAAACTGTGGTCTGGCACATCCTATTTGGCCCACACAGCATTTTTAATTTTTTTTAAATGTAAATCCTTCAGGAAATTCACCACCTCCTCCCATTGAAAGAAGGTACTTCATCATATAGGATACTGTAGCTCACCTTGCACTATGAACCCCTTGCATGTTGTGTGCCAGCCAAATGTTTGAAGTATGAATGCCACATCAATCCTTCCACCTCTGAGCCTTCTTACATTCTGGGTCTTCCAATCCACCCAAGCCTACCTCTTCATGTGTCTAACTTCTACTCTTCTGAAGACCTCAAGAAGTCCTCTCTAATCTCCTAAAGTCCCGGTTAAGTGCTTAATCCTCTATGGCCCCAGACTCTTCTGCTATTTCTGTGACCATATCACCAGACACCAGACTAATTCCTTTAGGGCAGGGCTGATTCCTTGCTCCTTTTGGCCTCTCCAGTGTGTAGCACACAGCAGGTGGTAAATAAATATTTTCAGAATGAAGAAATGGCAATATAAGTATCTGCTCTGAAAATATTTGCTTTTAATACTCTTGGCAGAGTATTCAGATGAATGATGAGATTGACAAAAAAAAAAAAAAAGTAGATCACACAGAAGGCAAGAGAATAAAGAGGCTTGTAAAGGCCACGTCTGGTCACACATAGGTGCTTTCCAAAGGTTTGATGGCCCTCTACAGCAATATTTAATCTCACACATCATTGCTGCTGTATTTTCACTCTCCCTTTCCCCTAAAGTAACTATATATTTGTTTCTACACACATTTTCTGGATACCAACGGCAAAGACACAAACACAATAAATCCAAATAAATAAAAGAAAGAACATGAACTTAAATCAATTTCTTTGAAACTACTGTCATCTTCCCTTATAAGAAACATTCATTTTAAGAAATAGAGCTGATTAAAATTAATCAACTGCCCTTCCTACTTCTTCATATTCATTTTTCAATCAGCTCCACTCTTATTTCCCTTTGCTATAGACTGGCCAGACTGTCTTCACTGAGGATCACAACTTTCAGAGGACACCCAGGGACAGAATGGACATGCTTACCAATTGTGAGCAAGTAGGTCTACAGGTACATCTTGGTGGATTATATTATCCACCCACAGCCATGTTTACTGGGAACGAGGAAAGCTTTGAGGGGATTCCTTCTCTCTACCTCCCAGGTCAGGAATGTGTTTGTGAAAGAAGAAAATAGGCAGCAACAGTAAAAGAAGACAAGCAGGACAGCACATTTGGCAGCCCTCCTTGTCTCCAAGCAGAAACTTCATTAGATTTGCTGAGAAGGAGCCTTTTTTTACAAAGGTACAGTGACAAGCAGCTGCCCATCCTTTCCTAGCCCTGAGCACCTCCAGCTGTCTTATCAAGAACCCAGCTCCTTTCACATGGAAGTAGCACTTTCATGAGCTACTGTAGCTACTGAGACAGGTACCTTTCTCCATAATTATCACCAAGGCAGGAGTAAAAAGCAACTTACCTTTTGAAAAAAGTCTTCCCCACTTTTGCCTTTTCCTTCGGCAGCAGCTGTAAATAAAAATGTAAACATTTAAAATAGTTTATTTTTTTTCAACCTATGTCCTCAAAAACTCTCGAGTATCAGGCATGAGAATGCAAAGGTAAACAAGATGCCACTCTTGTTCTCCCAAAGCTCAGTGACTACCAACTGGTTTTGTTGGAGATGCAAATTGATAAGGAATAAAATGCCAATCCAATCACAATTATCCGTCCTTAGATAATTTCCCACTCCTTTCCTGTCTGAAAGACTCACAAATCTCTATTTTTACACATAGATGAAAGTAATCTCCTTTCTTAGTTAAGGAACTATATGAACAACTATAACTACCAATATAATCAGCTGTAGTGCTCTAAGCACTTCCTGTCTGTAATCAATTCCGGGCCTGAGGCTGCTTTTTCACTGAGGCTCGTGGGACAGGGGCTGCTGAGCTGTGTCAGTTTTATATTTTGCAATGACTATACACACTCTACTTGGATTTCGGTTGGCATCATATACTACCTCAATTCACTCCTTCACTGGCTTATAGAGAGAGAAAAAAGTGAGAATTAAATAGTAATGGTAAAGTCGCAGACAACAAAACGTCATGTAAGATTAATTAAAAGGTCACTGTGTTTGCACAGTCTTTTTTGTATCTAAATGGTAACCTACAAATACAGGACAAACCCAGTTCTCTATTTTCAAATGTCTTAAGACTCTGTCAACACTTTTATTTTTTATCTGAGAGGAGAGGTAAGACATTTGACTAGAGGGAGAGAAGACAAAAGCCAACAGCATCTTGCTTGCCACAGGCCTCCAAGTGCATCTTTCAGAGGGCAAACCCCCAACAGATGTCTGATTCAAACGCGGAGCAGGACAGTGGTCACCGGGGGACCCACCACTCGCCTGGACACAAAACGGAGCTGGAGGAGAACTCCTGGAACTTGTTAAAATTATTAAAGACCCAAGAAGTATGGTGGATCATCCTGTTAGGAGGAGGATCCAAAATTCAAAGAAATTTTCTAGCCCTCAAAATAATAACAAGTATTATTTACTGTTTTTTCACCTAGTTTTTTTTAAATTTCACAGTTAAATGCAAGACAGGACACCTAAAATTTTGTATGAATGTGGTTTTTATCAACATGTTTTCATCCAAAAAAGACAGCACAGAGTGCAGGTTTCTGTGATTACCAAGGACAATTTGAGGAAATGTATGAAAATAGCTAAAAAGAAATAAAAAATTAAAAATTGTATTCTAATATTTGGCAGGCTACATAATACCCCCACCCCCCAAAATGTGTTCATGTCCTGATCCCTGGAACCTATCAATAGGTCACCTTACGGGACAAAAGGAATTTTGCAGAGTTAATTAAGAATCTTGAAATCGAAAGATAATCCTGAATTATCCAGGGGGGCCCAATGTAATCACAAGGGGTCCTCGTAAGAACGAAGCCCAGAATCCAAGAAGGCGATGTAACAACAAAAAACCGAAGGAGAAGGCTGTGGAATGACAGAGGGAGAGGTTCAGAGAGAAGAAAGATACAGAGACGCTGTGCTGCTGACTTTGAAGACAGCGGAGAGGCCACAAGCCAAGGAAATGGACCCTTTGCTAGAGCCTCTGAAGGGAGCACGGTCCTGCCAACGCCTCGATGCAGTTCAATGAAGCCCGTGTTAGACTTCCGACCTGCAAAACGCCGGGTAACAAATTAACATCTTACGCCACTATATTTGTGGTCATTCGTTGCAGCAGCGAAAAACTAATCTTGATGCCAGTATCACTTTAACTTTGTGTTCTGCACAAACACCACACCATCAACAGGATGAACCGAGTATAGACACTGAGGTAAGCATTTGAAGCACACATTTCCACAAAAAGATTCTATGTAGTTAATGCTACAAATTATGATTTTTCACTAACTTGGAAATGTATCAGCATTAAAGCCTTTTTAAAAAAACTAAATGCAAATTTGAAGAAAAGAAAAGCAAAGTTGATTCTTTCTAAATAAACTGGCCAATGTGGTGGATACTAGCTAGAGGGGCCCAGCCACGCAAGGTGGAAGATCAGTACCCAAATCCAAAGACACAAACTTGGTATCAACTGCCTTGGAGGAACTTCAATTCAGCCACCTCTCCAGCTGTCTTTAGCTCTAAAGCTAAAAATAGTTTAAAAGGGTCCTAATAAACAACAAAACTGCTTAGCAATGAAAACTATATACCAAGGCATGAAGTTTTGAAAAAATTCTAGTGACATCAAGGAAACGCTTCTTCAAAAAGAAATTTTAGAATCAAAGACATTTTCAAAGGTCTATCGAGGAAGGCAGATAATCATCCCTTTCACCCACACAGAACTCTTAACACAACTTAGAATTCATCAGTTTAAATTTCATGATACAACTATATTCTCTCATAGGAACTTCCTTTAGGACACTTATTTTGCTCATGACAAACTCATTATGTCACAACCTTGAAATGCCTCTTCATTCTAAGTCTGAACAGACTTCACAGAATGGCCTTTGAATACCAGAATGAATAAAAAGGGGGAAATTTCCTTAGTTAGACCCCAACTATAATTAACTATGTTACAGGAAAAACATCTAAAATTTAACCAGAAACCTACACCTTTTAGCATGAGAGGGAACAGCAGAGAGAGCACAAGAAACAGCAAACTCACTGGCACAAAAAAAAAATCACTGTTCTTTTCCATTACAAATTTTTATGCATGAGGAACTCCAAATCTGAGTCTGATTTTCTCCTAAATCCTGAGCAGTGGTCATTTCCCAAGCCCCCTTGTGCCCTGGTAGAAAAAAAGAGCTGGTTGGATTCTTAGGAAGATCTCAGGTGCAAACCATGGCTGGTCCCAGGCACTGGCACTTTGCAGGGAGGGTCCTTATCTAATCCCCATGTGGCTGGGTCTGCTGCAGGGCTTTTACTGACATCACCCAAGCAAAGCTGTCAAGGTCGCAGAAGTCAGTCAAGGGAGGGCAGCATTTCACCAGAAGTATCCTCTCTCCACAAACAGGGACGCTTCCATGCCCCAACATGAGAATTCAAATCTCAAACTGACTCTAATATCCTCAGTATCAAAATATAAACTCCAAAGAAATGAGAGACTGGAAGGCGGGGGGGCTTGCAAAATATTTTTTCCTCAATATAAACACAATCGTTTAAGATGTTCATTGTACAGACCCAGGAAAGATAGAGAAGTTTACTCTTTCATTCCACATATAAGTGTCCTATACTGGAGAATTAAAATAGGCAAGGCCATGCTCTCTTTTAAACAAACTTTGTCCATATATCCAAAGACACCCAACTGGTGAGATAAAGCCAAAATGAAAATTCAGTTCTACTGACAACTTTCCCAAAAGATCTTTTCACAGTCACAACTCTACCCAAATTACACTTAATAGGACTATAATTTAGCTACTCTTATTCTAGACAGTGCACTAAAAGCTAGTCATTTTACTCTTAACTCAACACTAGAGCTAGGCAGCTACTGTTAGGCCTGAAGAATAAAGGGTGCTTCTAAGGAGTCCATTTGAGAGCTGGCTTGGAAGAAAAAACAGGAGGTATGATAATATCCTGATTCAAAGGCTTTCTCTTCAATATATTTGGAGGGGGAAATGTTCCTTGTGAAATGAGCCAACCCATACTTGATGTCATGACATTCTTTGACCTTTGAAGTCTGATTATATTCTGTGGTATAACAGTTCTATTGAGTCTTCACATTCTTATTCACTGATACACCCTCATCTTTTTTATTCCACAGTAATATAAACACACATCATGATTTAGTAGCCTTTTTCTGTCTTTACAATATGACTTCTGCTTGATGTTCCAAAATTTAATCGTTTGATTGTATAAACCCTGGATTATTCTTGCCAATGAAAGCAATTGTCTTTATTTTCATGACATAGAATAAATTATTTCAATACTACTGAAACATGGCTTCATGGGTTGTGCAGGTAAGGCATTTCGTATTTTAAGCTGAACAACTCATTTTTTATGTTTATTATAATTTATTCAGTGCTTTGCCATATTTTATTTCATATTTTTGCTTCACAAGAAATATGGGATGGCAAAAGCCATGGCCAATAAAAACAGCAGAAGTTGAAACAGGTGTAAACTATTACAGTCCCCAAACTACAGGGGCAAGTCCAGTTAATTACTGAATTAAAGGGGGGGAGAAAGCTCAATTTTAAATTCTTTGTAGGACATATGGAAACTTGTTTAAATATTATTTTCATTCTGAAATGCTTTTCCATTATAACATCTTATGGTTTATGGAGCCAAATCTAAAAACACAAGGACTATGTATTTCATATTTAAAACATAGTATGGAATATCATTAAACATTCCCTTGATAAGCAATGGGTTTTTTCACCCCTGTGGAATTTGAGCAGGAAAAAAAAAGTTTAAATTATAAAAATAATTCAGAAATAAATCTTCCAATCTGTAGAGATTCAGGGCATTCCTTCCTATTTTAAAACACAACCCAACTATAGCACATTTGCAACTAAGAAGGCTACTGTATCCTAAGGTCACCTGAAAGATAAATGTCTAATCGTTAGGGAGCCTGATTCTCCTGTAAAAATATTTTACTAAAAATTTAAAACATTCACTCAGGGTATCAATTTAATCCATATCCTAAAAGAGCTATGCCATATACTTTAGTCTGTATATTTCTGTTTTCAGAAAAGCTCTCTGACAACCTGGCCAATTCTACTGAAAGAGGAATCAGCAAAAGATGTACAAGATGCAGTGTCTATATAGACCAATAGAACTTTTTATGTTCATGAATCATATCTAACACTCTATAGGCATGCAAAGCTCTGAGAACTGATTGAATAAATAGTAGATATTAAGCCTATTTTTAATGTTTCTTGATTTTGGAGAGAGAGAGAGGAAGGAAGAAAGACAGAAACATCAATGTGAGAGAGAAACTCCAATGCGAGAGAAAAACTTCAACTGGCCACCTCACATACATGCCTCGACCAGGGATCGAACCCAAGACCTAGGTATGTGCCCTAAAAGA